ACCTATAAGGCCACATGTGGCCTTGAGGCTTCAGGTTCCTCACCCCTGCAGTCTGGGACTTAAAATCAATAACAGCATTGCTTCTGGAAAAGGTGTGTCAATTGACTTCTCTATGGATTAATTCACCATGTCTTTGACACCTCTGATACTCTTCCCATGGCCTCAACCTCCCTTGGCTCCCCTCAATATGTGTTCTGTTCTCTATTAGAATGTAAGCTCCTTAATGGCAGGAATTGTTTCACTTCTTGTATTTATATCGTCAGAGCTTAGTGCAGTGTTTAGAACATAGCATTTAATAAATAATTTTTATTCATTTGTCAAATGAAATGATATTTGTAAAGGGCTTAGTAACAGTGCCTGGCACATAATAGATATTGTATGAATGCACATGTCCTTCCCATGCCTTCTGTTATTTCAACTAGATTATAAACTTCTCGATGTAGAGACTGTTTCTTTTTAGTTTCTATACCCATAGCTTCTACTGTAGGTAAAATACTGCCTGTAGGAGTTATAAAAGGAATCTGACAGTCACTGCCTTCCACAAGCTACAATTCTTATTTCCCTAATCAGGGAGATTATAGTACCATACGTGAAACAATTAACAAGTATTACAAAATAGTTTATAATTGAATTCTGTAAGAGTTCAGAAAATGGAGTGATTAGTGATAGGTTTGTGCATATTTATCAATTGTGTTACTATAATCAGTCAACAATGAGCATTTATTAAGTGACTATTGATATGCCAGGCACTGTGCTAAGCACTGAGAATACAAAAAGAGGCAAAAGACAGTCCCTGCTTTCAAGGAGCTTACAATTGAATGAGGGAGACAATATGAAAACATATATACTAAGCAAGCTATAAATAGGAAATAATTATCTGGGAAGGCACTAAAATTAAGAAAGGTTGGAGAAGAGGAAGGCTTCTTGTAGAAGGTGGGATTTTAGCTGAGACTTAAAGGATGCCAGGGAGGTCAGTAGTTGGAGTGGAGGAGTAAAAGTGTTCCAGGGAAAGAGCAAGAGTAAATGCCTGTAGGTGAGAAATTGAGTTACTTGTTTGTGGAACAGGCAGGAGGCCAGTGTCACTGGATCAGAGATCATGTGGCAAGGAGTAAGATGTAAGAAGACTGGAAAAGTAGGAGGGGGCTAGATTATGAAGAGTTTTGAATACCAAGCAGGGCATTTTGTATTTGTTCTTGAAGGCAATAGAAAACTGCTGGAGTTGAGAGAGAGAGAGAGAGAGAGAGAGAGAGAGAGAGAGTGTGTGTGTGTGTGTGAGAGAGAGAGAGAGAGAGAGACAGAGAGAGAGAGAGAGGAATGAACCTGTGCTTTAGGAAAATCACTTTAGTGGCTGACTGGAGGATGGACTGGAATAGGGAGAGACTTGAGGCAGGCAGACCCACCAGCAGACTATTGCAATAGTCCAGGCATGAAGTGAAGGCCTGCAGTAGTGTGGTGGCAGTATAATAGATAAAGTATAAGTGTTGGCAGTATAAAAGGTAAAATCAACAAGCCTTAGAAAAAGATTGGAAATGGAGGGTGAGGATTATGAGGAATCCAGGATGATAGCTAGGTTGTGAACCTGAGGGATGGGAGGATGGTGCTGCCTTTTACAGTAATAGGGAAGGTAGGAAAGGGGAAGTTTTAAGGGGAAAGATGAATTCTCTTTTGAACATATTGAGTTTAAAGTGTCTACTGGACATCTAGTTTGATATATCTGAAAGGCAGTTGAAGATGTGAGATTGGAAGACAACAGAGAGACTGTACATAGATTTGAGAATCAACAGCATAGAGATGGTAATGAAATCCATGGGAGCTAATGGGATAACCACATGTAGTGTGGAGAGAGAAGAGGGCTCAAGACAGAATGCTGAGGAACACATAACATATGCTGAGGGCATAATCTGGAGGATGATCCAGCAAAGAAGACAGGAGTGATCGGGTAAGTAAGAGGAGAACTAGGAGAGAAAACCTAGAGAGATAAGACTATCAAGGAGGAAAGAGTGATCAACAATGTCAAAGGCTACAGAAAGTTCAAGGAGAAGAAAGATTAAGAAAAATTCATTAGAATTGGCAATTAAGAGATCCTTTAAAACACTGGAAAGAGCAGTTTCAGTAGAAAGATAAAGTCAGAAGTTGGATTATATGGAGTTAAGAAGAGGGTTGAGGTGCCTTTTTGTTAGATGGCCTTTTAGAGGAGTTTAGCCACAAAGGGCAGAAGAGATATAGGATGATAATGGGAATGAAAGGATCAAGAGAGGGGTTTTGTTTTTTTTTTGTTTTTTTTTTTTTTTCGTAGGATGGGAAGACATAAGCATGTTTGTAGGCAGTAGGAAGTGAGCCAGTAGATAGGGAGCAGTATGAGGGGAGAGTAAATCAGAATATTATATTTGTTGGGGCAAGGGGAAAAACCCTTAGAGGTCATTACTTCCCTCATGTAGAAAATCCTTCTATAACAATCCAGATAGTTACGTAGTTTCTGCTTGTACATTTTCAGTGTCAAGGAGTTCATTTATCTGTGAAACAGCAGTTTCCATTGTTGGACCCACTCTATTATAATTTTTCATGTTGACATGAAATCTGCCTGTGCATTATGGTATCAATTGATTTAGAATCAGAAGACTTCAGCTGAAATCTGAGCTCTGCTCTTTAACTTCTCTGATCTTCAGTTTCCTCACTTGAAAAATGGAGATAATAACTTTAATGCAGTTAAAAAATGCTGTTTGTATTCATTATCATAGATAGAAAAAGAACTGAATAAGCATGGTGGATATCATTGGGTTATCTATTATCATTACATATATACAGCCTACAACATAGCCAAATAAATATTTTTGGAATGCCTGGAGGTTGAATCATAGAACCTTAGTGGTGGAAGGGAGCATCTGCTAAGTCTAATTCTAACCCCTCTAAATGGAGGCAGTTAGAGCACTGGAAGTTAACCACTGCCTGCCTTAGTTTCCTTAATTTTCTTAATGTGGATAATAATAGTATCTACTTCCCAGAGTTGTTGTGTAGAACAAATGAGATAATATTTTTAAAGGGCTTTACAGAACTTTACAGAAGTGCTGTATAAAATGCTAACTATTAATCTTACTAATAATTTCCTCCTGCAGATGAAAGAATTGAAGCCCATAGAGTTTAAGAGCTCTATCCAAAGTGGCACAGCTAGCTGGTAATTGTCCATTGTTCTTTCCACTATTTTTATTCATTCTGGCAATGTAATCCATTTTATAAAACACACACTTTTAATATCATAAAACTTCAGGAGCTATCAAAATTGATAGTGGTAGGAAAAGCACTGAATTCAAACTGTCTGAGCCCAGCTTCTACAAGAAGCTTTTCCCAGCCCTCCTTAATCTTTTAGTGCCTTCCCTCTGTGATAATTTATAATTTATCCTATTTTTGTAGATAGGTGTGTGTGTGTGTGTGTGTGTGTGTGTCTGTGTGTGTGTGTGTGTGTGTAATGTATGTATGTATCTAGGTTGTTTCTCCCACAGAACTGAGCTTCTTCATAGCAGGGGCTGTTTTTTGCCTTTCTTTGTAACCCTGGCAGTTAGCACAGTGCTTGGCATATAATAAGTTCTTAATAAATGTTTGTTGACCATTGATTGACTTTTCTCACAATATTGTTGTGAGGATAAAAAGTAAGATAATGAATTACTTACAAATGATAAAGCTCTCTATATTAGCTACAATATTAGCTGTATCTGTTTTTTCTTACCTATTCTACCTTGATTACTTGTTGGAACAACATAGAACTAGTCTTCCTCTTCCATATGGACAGCCCTTCTCCAGATTAAACCTACTTAACTCCTTCAACTCTTACATTACTATTTCTAGTACCACATTATCATTTCTGTCACTCAGAGTAGTTCCTTAATCCACCAGTTTCCCTCATTTTCCTGAGGACACTGGCAGAGAATCTTACCCAAACAACACATACTTCTTGGCATTTTGGAGGAGATTCTCACTGGACACCCTGGAAAAATTGCTTAATGGAGATGATCCTCAAGTTTCCACTGTATTTATCAGTGCACATCATATTTTGGCTTTCTCCCCATTTAGAACCTTCAAAATTCCATCCTCACCCTCCCAATATTTACAAATTCACTTTTGTACTACTTGGATATATTCTTGAATACCTGAGCAGAAAATATCTAAGATTAGGCCAGTTAGCTGTGGAGACCAGAAGACAATAAATAGTTCAGCCTAAGTTATATTGTGGGAAGAGAGTTATAGTTCTGTGTGTGTGCAAAAAAAAAAATGGCAATCAAACTCTGATGTGATATTATTGATGGGAACCATCACTAGACTAAAAGAATGCAATTCATTAAGAAAATTAGATGTTTTAAATTAACTTCAACACATGACTGTTAGAAAACATAATTATAAAGACTAGTCTGTAAATTTGACAGCATCTGAACCCAGACGTTTGTCAGTGTACAAATATGGTGTGGATTTCACCATCAGTGATTTCTACGTATTTATTGGCTTTTATCAGTAAATTGCTGTTTAAATGTGATTTTATTGTTAAATGACACTCACACCATTTGTTGGGGGGAGAGACTCGGAGACAGACAAAAGCAGGTAGTCTATCAACATTTATTAAACGCTTGCTATGTGTCAGGCACGGTGCTAAGTGCCGGAGATACAAAAAGGGGCAAAAGACAGCTCGTGCCATCAAGGAGCTCACGATCAAATGGAGACAACAAGTAAATATGTCCACGCAAAGCTATATTTACAGGTAAATAGAAATAATTAAGTGAAGGCATTATACTTAAGAAGTGTTGGAAATGAGAGACAGAGACAGAGACAGACGCCGGGAAGGGGACGCGGAACTTGAGAGTGTGTCTCTGTGTTCCTGTGTGAAACAGACAAGAAAAAAAAAAATGGGGTCTAAAACTGGATTCGCTTCCTCTTTCCCCCGTCAGCTAAAACGGAAATCATAGAGATGCCTAAGCCTCCCAAGGTTCCTAGAGAAAGTCTCCGGAAGTGCTCTCTAGGGGTCGGCTGCTTGTGATCCACTCCCGGGTGCGGCCATAGGTGTTTTGCGGCCTCTTTCTGCTTTTAGGTTCTCTTTTGGGAACGGTTTCCCGGTCAGTCACCTTCCCTTCTCCAGCTCTCCCCTCTACCGCCTTCACACAATTCCGGCTGGGCCTGGAGTTCACGGTGAGTCGGGTGCGGGGTCTGGGCAGGGGAACGGGCTTTGTAGCCAGACAGAGGCCAGTCCTGGGCGGGTTGCGGAGAAGCCCATCTCTCCATCGCCAGCCTTGGAGGCTGCAGAAGTGTCCTCTCCTCGGAGAGAGGGCCTCTGGGAAAGCCCATCCTGAAGTGCGGGGGCTTCGGAGGACGCACCCGCCTCTCTTTGGGCAGAAAAGGCCCATCTTTGGCGCAGGAATCGGCCCCACTTTTCCCTGTTGGCGCCTTTGAACATTGAGAAACATTTATTTAGGGCATCAGCTTTTAAAACGTTTGTGATCATGATTTCGATCCCAATAACAAAGTAGCCAGGTGGGTAAACTGAAGCTGAGAGCTATAATTTAAGTGACTTGGAAAAGGTGCTAGTAACTGGCTCAGATTTTCTGAATGGGGTTCTTCTGTACCTGAGGGGTTCAGCTGCCCCTCTCTGGGGAATATTGATCCTCACTGGTACTGAGTAGAGATCAGTGTTATGCTAATGAACTGCATTTTTGTCATTACTTGTTTTCCCCACAGGTCAAACCTCATATCCGAAATTTTTTACAATATTTTTAACTTTACAAACAGTTGGCGTGCTATGCTGATATATCTTTCTGGCGATTTTTTAAAATAGCATTAAGGACAGTATCAACAAAATCAATTGAACATACTTTATACCTTTTTATATTTGAGTAAAACTGAAAATATCGGTAACAGGTTATCAGTTCTTTTAATTTTTTTTTGTTCTTTCAATAAATAAACCATTGTTATGTGACTTCTATTTGCCAGGCACTGTGCTAAGAGCTGGGGATATATTTAGCTATATTTTATATACATTTTCTTTTTATGTAGATGTAGTCAACTCTACAATGAGGAATTGACACATTTAGGAAAAACCCAATTCCCAAAGTCAAAGCATATGAATTACAAATTGTAGATAATCAACCAAAATAGTATTCAACTTCAGTAATAAAAAAAAAATCAAATTAAAACAATTTTCAGGTACTATTCTCACAGCCATAGGCAAATATTGTTTGTCAGAATTATACTCTCTGGTTTTGCAGAGCACTTTACATACATTATCTCATTTTATTGTCACATCACCCAGTAAGATAGTTACTACATGTGTTGTTATTCCCATTTTAGAGATGGGGAAACTAGTGTCACATTTGACTTCATCTTTCTTGATTCCAAGTTAAGCACTTTTCCTTCTGGTACCTCTTATAGCAGCATTATTTGTTATGTGTATGTATACACACACACATGTGTATGTGTACATATATACACACACATATACAGATACACACATGCACATAGAAACACAACCCAAATGTGCAACAATTAGGGAATGGTGAAATAAATTATGCTGTATCAATGGAAGAGAGGCAGGGGACTCTAGTGGATAGAGAGCTGACCTCAGAGCCAGAAGATATGAATCTTAACTCTTGACATATACTAGCTGTGTGACCTTGAGCAAGTCACTTAATATCTCATTGCTCTTGATAGAACAAGTTTCCTCATCTAGAAATTTCCTGTAACAATGGTAATTAAACCAAACATAAGAAATATGTTAAGATCTATGTAAAATAATGCAAAGTAAAGAAAGAAGAACCAAAAATATAGAACAAGTACCAGCTGGAGGCCCTGCCTTCATTGGTAGTTCCTTATAAAAATGAAATCACAGGTTTCCACCCCCCCACCCCCCCCTGAAATGGATCAAAACTAACAAGAAATGTGACATTATTAAGAGGTGAGCCACCCCTAATTTAATAGGTAATCATGGATGTTTGGGCATTGTTTTTCTCTTAGTGTAGTAGGACAACTATGTCCAGCAAGAATCTGCAGATATTTAAATTGTTTACTTCCCTGAATCATTATGCTGTTCTCCAGTGTCATGGTTATTTTAAAAAATCAAGAATATAGACACACACAAATAGATAGATAGATAGATAGATAGATAGATACAAACACATATATAGATACATCCACACATACATTAAAAATTTTCCAATTTTTTAACATTTTTATTTAAAGTTCTAAGTTCCAAATTCTATCCCTCTCTCCCCTCTCCCAGACAGTAAGCAATCAGATTTAGGTTGTACATATGCAATTATGTAAAACATTTCATTATTAGTCATTTTGTATGAAAAGACTCGAATAAAAGGGAAAAAATGAAAGAAAATGAAAAATAGCATGCTTCAGTTTGTGTTCGATCAATATCAGTTGTTTCTCTGGAGGTTAATAGTGTGCTTCATCATTAGTCCTTTAGGATTGTCTTGGATCATTGTATTGCTGAGAGTAGCTAAGTCATTTACAATTCTTCATCGAACAATATTGTTGTTATTGTGTACAATGTTCTGCTTCTGTTCACTTCTCTGTGCATCAGTTTGTGTAAGTCTTTCCAGGTTTTCCTGCTTGTCATTTCTTATAACACAATAATATTCCATTACAAATCATATACCACAGCTTGTTTAGCCATTTCCCAGTTGATGGGCATCCCTTTGATTTCCAACTTTTAGCCACTACAAAAAGAGCTGCTATAAATATTTTTGTACAAATAGATTCTTTTCCCTTTTTTTGGATGTCTTTGGGATATAAACCTAGCAGTGGTATTGCTGGATCAAAGGGCACAGTTTTATAGCACTTTGGGCATAGTTTCAAATTGCTCTCCAGAATGGTTGGATAAGTTCACAACTCCACCAACAATGCATTAATGTTCCAATTTTCCCTCATCTCCTCCAACATTTATCATTTTCCTTTTTTTGTCATATTAGCCAATCTGATAGGTGTGATGTGGTACCTCAGAGCTGTTTTGATTTGCATTTTTCTAATCAATAGTGATTTGGAACATTTTTTCATATGACTGTAGATAACTTTAATTTCTTCATCTGAAAATTGCCTGTTCTTATCCTTTGACCATTTAACAATTGGGGAATGACTTGTATTCTTATAAATTTAACTCTATTCTCTCTGTATTTTAGAAATGAGGCCTTAATCAGAGACAGTAGTTGTAAAATTGTTTCCCAGCTTTCTGCTTCCCTTCTAATCTTGGTTGCATTGGCTTTATTTGTGCAAGAACTTTCCAATTTAATGTAATCAGAATTTTCCATTTTGCATTTCATAATGTTCTCTATCTCTTGTTTGTCATAAATTCTTCCATTTTCCATAAATCTGACAGGTAAACTATTCCTTGCTCTCCTAGTTTGCTTATAGTATCAGCCTTTGCATCTAAATTGTGTACCCATTTTGACTTTATCTTGTTATACCATGTAAGATGTTAGTCTATGCTTAGTTTCTGCCAGTTTTCCCAGCAGGTTTTGTTAAATGATGAGTTCTTACCCAGAAGCTGGGGTCTTTGGGTTTATCAAACAGTAGGTTACCATAGTCATTGATTGATCTTGTGTACCTAATCTATTCCACTGATCCACCGCTCTGTTTCTTAGCCAGTACCAAGTAGTTTTGATGATTGCTGCTTTATAATACAATTTAAGATCTAGTATGGCTAGACCACCTTCCTTTGCATTTCTTTTCATTAATTCCCTTGATATTCTGAACTTTTTGTTCTTCCAGATGAATTTTGTTATTATTTTTTCTAGCTCTATAAAATAATTTTTTGATAGTTTGGCATGGCACTGAATAAAGAGATTAATTTGGGTAGAATTGTCATTTTTATCATATAGACTCAGCCTACCCATGAGCAATTAATATTTTCCCAGTTATTTATATCTCATTTTTTTTGTGTGAAAAGTGTTTTATTGTTCTGTTCTTGTAGCTCTTGAGTTTGTCTTTGCAGGTAGACTTCCAAGTACTTTATATGGTCTGTAGTTTTTTTAAATGGAATTTCTCTTTCTGTCTCTTGCAGCTAGACTTTGTTGGTAATATAAAGGATATATATTTTAGAAAAATGTTCCGTTCATAAATGTGAAATCTATCAGTTTTAGGGAATTTTACTGTTTTTAAAAGCAATAACCAAAGATTAATTCAATTTAGTCAATATGAGAAATTTAAAATATTGCATCTTGGTCTTTACTTTCTGTTTATTCGTAGTCTGGAAAAGAAAGATGATTTATATTTTTTCCACTTCTAAATATTTTCTCAATTTATAATTAGCTCAAAGTAGGTAATATTTCTGTAATTGTAGAAAATGTAATGCTTTTAAAAGCTGGGATGTATGTGACTTTCATAGTTACATAATTATTTAAGTTTATAATCTATTTTGGTGTGTATGTACACCTATATGCATATATATCTATCCACATATATAAATTTAAGGACCTATTACCTCAGACTGCTGTTTCAAACACATAAAACAATTTTATTGTAGTGTGCTAATTGTAGTGGTCCATTGTAGAAAGGAGTAAGAGGGAATGATGTAGATGATCAATCAGCAAATGAGATTGATAGGGAGGAGGAGGAGGACCAGGAAAAAGTAGTGTCACCAGAAACCCAGAGGGCAAGTTTTTGTACTTGTGTCATAGACCCCTTTGGCAGCCTAGTGAAGCCTATAAACCCCTTCTCAGAATAATGGCTTTTTAAAAATATGGGTAATTGAAATACATCCTCAATTTTAATCAGAAGTTATTGAAAATGAAGATGTAATTTTTTCCCCCTCCTATCCAAGTTCATGGACATTATTGGATTTTTAACCCAACGATGTGGAATGCAGTAGCTAGGGTGAGAAGGATGAGAACTGAGAAAAGACCAGTTAAGAAATCCTTTGTAACTTTGCAGAGAACAGTGTCAGTTGAATGATGAGGTTGGAAGCCAGACTGTAAGGGATTGTGGAGTCAATGAGAAAAGAAGAAATGGAAGTTGTCAGTCAGTAAACATTAAATGCCTGCTATTTGCCAGGCACTGTACTAAGTGTTGGGGATCCAAAAAAGAGGCAAAAGGCAGTCTATGACCTCAAGGAGCTCGAAATTGAATAGGGGATACAACAATCAAACAAACATGTATGAATAAGCTATATACAGGAAAAATAGGAAGTAATT